CCCTATAGATATTTAATGGGTATGAGTAATCCTTATACCTATAGCTTTTAATAAAAAATTAAAAACTAAAATTTTTTAGCTTTTTTAATTTTTATCTTGTATATTTAGATAATTTTTTATAAATATATATTAATATATATTTTTAGTAAAAATATATTAATTTTAATTAATCTAAAATAACAATTTATTATTTAATACTATATATATATATATATAAATATATATGTAAGGTATTGATACGAAATAGGTGCTATTTACTCATCCCCACTCCCGTATTTAATAAAAATTTAAAATTATATCTATACTTATCCCCATACTCCTAATGTGAAATCTATCTCCATCTTTATTCAAATAAACAATTAAATTTTTCATTAAATAAAAAATAAAATTGACATCTCTAATTATATCAAACACATTACTATAATTAAGGAACAAAACACTTTACCATAATTTAGGAACAATTCGTAATATTAAGCCATTTTGTCATTTTAAATCCATAATGAGCCTAAGGTTTTGGTTAAGCACAACCTCATATGATAACGGAGCCCATTTTGGTAGGACTTGGGCTAAAATCCCACATTTTATTGGGTTATTCAATTCAATTGGGTGTTAAGAGTAATAATGGATCTTGCTTATTTCGCCCAACAGATAACAAGATTGAAACCAAATTTATTTATCAAATTGGAATTTGATAATCTTAACTATAATCTTCTCACAAATATACGAGTTATCGGCCACCCACAAAAATTGCCTATAAAGAAGATTAACATATAAAGGATATAGAAATATTTTCTTATCTACTAATCTTATTGACAAAATATGAAAATTAGTTAATTCTCTTTTCCTATAACCAAACCAATAGATAATTGGAAGAGTAATTGTGTGTATATACAAGATATCAAGAGGGTAAAGATTGTTTTCATTTTTTTTTTCATTTAAACATTGTTTTCATAAAATAGAAAATTGAAACTTACTATATGTCACTAATGATTTTCACCATATTTTCCAATAATAAAATATTTTATTTAATAGACTAACGTTTTCAAAAATTTTTGTCTCACTTTTATCAATTAGCATCCTATTTCGATACTAATTTTATTTATAGTTTATATTTGTTATACTGTCAGTGTATAAATGTTATATACTGTTAGTGAATCAAATGATGATAACTCATTAATGAATAAATATCAATCATTAAAATAAATGTACGAAAATTAAAATAATTTACTCATTAATGAGGTATCATCATCTGATTTATTTCATTAATGAATTGTTATCATCTGATTTATTGATAGTGTATCAAATATAAACTTATTTATTTATTTATTTATTTTTTGATAAAAGTACTGATTTTATTTCATTGCAATGCAAACTCAACTTTAAATTCAACTTTCTATGCAATTAAATCAAAGGAATATAGATTTATTTCTAAAACTAATATATATTTGCTTAAAGTAAGGTAATAAAAATATATATAATTTTATCAAGTTGATTTATTTGCATTTTACAAATGTCCGGACATGTGTAATATTAATTACTATTTCCATCTCCCATATAAAATCTTGTTTATTTATCTTTAATTGTTTCAAAATAATGCATCATTTGAAAGTTTTAAAAAAAATCATTTTTACTTTCTTTCATTATCCTTAACTATTTTTACATTTTTTTCAAGATAAAGGTAATTCAAGAAAGAAATTTTATAGTTAATTAAAGTCAATTTTTAACTAAATCATTTTTTTTTGAAATATCGACTTAAATTTTTTTAAAACTTTGTGTAAACTGGAAAAAAATTTATAGTTAATGATAGTCTAACTTTAATTTAAAACTTTTTTGAACTTTGTGCAAAGTTAAAATGAGACATAATAATATAATTTAACAATTCGAGTAAAACACTAATAATTTATACATTTATTTTATATTTTACATAAAATTATATGTTATAATTTGTGTCATTATAAAATATAAAATAATGTTTTTATTTTTATTAAACACATATATGATTTTTACTAAATTTAATATGTGTCATTTTTTTTTCTTATCATTTTCATGTTATATCATTGTGTTATGTTTTAAATTATCAAATTATTTTAGGTCAAATTATGCCGGAGATCCTTTACCATATAGAAATTTGAAATTTATTCACTTTACATAAATTCATGCAAATTTGATCATCTTACTATTTAGATTTAATAATTTCAATCAAACATAGACAATATTAATTTATCTTTGTTAAAATCAAAGATGTGATTTTTACTTGTTGATTTATGTGTTAATCACGTTAACGTGACATGATGACTAATTAAAAAGATTTTTAATGTTGAAATGTAATAAAATAATGCTACATAAATTTAGTGATTCGTATATTTATATCATATAAAATATTAAAATTTGTATATTCAAATTATTTTTACATAAAAATTATATGTTATAATTCATATCAATACGAAAACATAAAATATATTTTTTTGATTTTATAAAATTTATATATAATTATTGTTAAAATTTTAAGCCGTATCACTTTTGTGTCTTATATTTGTATTATATTTATGTTGTGTCACCGTATCGTATTTAAAATTGTTAAATATAATGTCACATGAACAATTTAAAATTTTTCAAATTAAATTTTAGAATTTATTTCTTGTATATTTTTAAACCTAACTAATTTCTCTTAATAAAAAATAAAGCCTTTGTTTTTTTCTTTTAAAAAAAAAAACCCCGTACCAACTGAAATGAAAACCAAAATATGAAAGTAAACAAAAAAATCCCTAATACTTATTTCTTAATTAGTTGAAGATCTCAAATCCTTACTACCCATTTCTTAACCAATTAAAAGATCCCAAATCCCTAGCATTAAAATATTTGATGTTGTTCTTAACATATATCTAATTGTGCCACCATAGAATTAAGGGTAATAATAGTTTAAATTGGATTGAATTTGACTTAATTTTTTATATAATGCATAATATTAATTTTTTAAAATTTAATCCGAATCTAAATTGATCTTATATTAAAATTGATTTAATCCAAACTGAAATTTACATATTTGATTCGGTTTATCGATTTTTAATTTTAAATTTGAATATTATATTATTTTAATAAAATTTTAATATATTTAAATATAAAATAATTATTTTTATTTTATAAAAATTTAAAAAATATATAAAAATTAACAAAAATATATAATTCGATTCGATGTATTTTTTTTTATTTTTAACATTTAAATATGAAATTTAATTCAAATTTAATATACACATTTAATATTCAAATTTGATATAAATCAAATAAGAAAAACGAATTTAAATCGAATGATATGATTTTGAATCGATTTTTGGATTTTACAATTTTTTTCTCACCCCTACGTGGATTTCCATCCATTTGATCGGTTCTTTGCATTAGGTTCCATGGGCTAAAATCTAAAGATCTGAGATATATATATATATATATATATATATATATATGTAAAAGATGCATTGACACATACAAGGGCCAAACTATAGGCATTAGAACTAGTTTCGAGTTTACATTTCTTTGGGTTTTGCTGCGAAATTGGTATGTTTTTAATGATATTGTGTGCTTTTCTCTTGCTCCTTGTGTACTATTGTCGAGCGAAATTGTGACTAAGGTTAGGGATGATAAATTTATCTGAATTTGTTGGGTTTAGATATAATTTTATAAGGATGATTTTATCAAAAAATTAAGTTTTGAATTGAATTGGATTTTTTTTTAATTAGGATCAATCAAAATCAAAATTTAGGTAAATCAATCCCAATTCAACCTAATACATATAATATATTTTATTATTTATTTAATTATATATATGTGTATTTTATTAATAAAATTATTATTTAATATTTTAATTTAAAATATTAACTTAATAAAAATATTATATTTATGTATAATAAAATGTAATTTATATTAAACAAATAATTTTTATAAATATTATACTAAATTAAAATTATTAAATTAATTTTAAATTTAATCAATTACGATTTTATACATATACAAATTAAATTCGGTCAAGTACAAAAATAATAATGTTTTATGCCGGAGTCTAAGCAAGTAAAAATTCATCCCAACTGGCTCATTATTGTCTTAGCCAGGGCTTATTTTCAGTTGCTATGAGTTGGTTACCAAGCTTGCAAAAAGATTGGTGAGAGCTTGGGAAAGTTAAAATTTTGGGGTTTAAGGGGTTTTCGGAAGTATTTTTTAAATTTCAACAGTGGAAACCAGAGAATGGTGAGAGAAAAATCGAAGAAAGTTTGGTGATCATAAGAGGTGGTGATAATATTAGATCTAAGTTTTTAGGATTCAGATTTTTTTTTTTTTTCATGAAAAAAGAGATTTTTTTGAAAAAATATAAGCTAATAGATTTGTAGAGGAAATTAAGAAAAGTTTTCAGGGTAAAATTTGATGATATTCCAATCGTGGTCAAGGCGGTAGATGATGATTGACACAATCGTCGATTGTCGGATTCCAGGTTACATGGTTATTGAGGATGAAATTTTTGGGTTTATAAATTTTTAGTGTTTTACTTTTTTTTTAATTATGAATATTTAATAAAATAATAGAAATAAATTTTAAAATATAATTTGAAAAATTTTAAATTACCACATGACATTATTTTGTTACACCTCAGCACTAAAAATCTTTTTAATTGATCATCGTGTTACATCAACCCAATCAATGTATGTGTCAATGTAGCTAATCAACATATACGTTAGTGAGTCAATTACCACCTCCTTGATTTTATTGGAAATAAATTAATACCGTTTATGATTGAATTAAAATTATTAAATTAAAATAATAAAAAATTAAATATATATGAAACATAATAAAAGAATTAAATTTCAAAATTTCATTTAATATGGAGTTTTTCGGCATAATTTGACCAATTATTATAAATAATTGATTAAAATTGAATATTTATTTTATTTTAAAAAAGGAAATATTTTTAAGAAGAAAAAAATGAGTTTCCATTTCCAAAACATAAGGATAATCCCTCTGGCCCATAAAAAAACCCACGAAAGAAAAATCTTACTGCCATTTGGCAATTAGCTTGATAGCCAGAAGCCCCGAAGCCAGAAGATAAACAATACCTCTTCCTCTCCCACCACCAAAACCCGTATAAGTTATCTAGGGTTTAGTCTGACGACCACTGCCACCATATTCCGGTCTCCGCCACCACCACTACCATCCCTAATGAAACCTTGTGAATAATAAAAAATAAAAAATGGGCAGCAGCAGCAGGTTCCTAATGCTCCTTTCCCCCTCTTCCCCTCTTCTCCACAACCATCGCCCCCCTTCCACCCTCCTCCGCCTTTCTCGCCACCGCATCCGGCTTTCCTTCGTCCTCCACCACCACCACCCTTCTTCTTCACCTCGCCCTTTGCACCCTACCACTAAAAACAGAAAAAACTCGGCCTTTTTCCTTCTCAAACCTTCCTCACGCCATTTCCACACCCAAACCGCCTCCGCGAATTTGTCTAACTCCTCTTTATGGGCCCCACCCCATCATCCCTGGCCTGAATTCTCCGGTCTCCTTAACAACATCTCAACAGCCGGCTACTTCAATTCCACCCACACTTCCACTGAGTTTGCGGCGGCTGCTTCCGAGTTCCCGGAAGAGTTTCTGGGCGTGCTCCATGCGTGCGTGGCATTCGCGCGTGATAGATCAGACCTTTTAAGGTAACAAAAATGGAAGTGAAAAGAAAATTTTGCTCAAATTATGTCTTTTTCTTCGCTGTTTTGAGTTTTTCTTGTATTGGTTTTTATGGTCAGATTGCTTTCGAGGAAGGAGATTGACGTGGTGGTGCGAAATGGGAAGCCTTTTTTGTTCAAGGACGGAGAGGAGTCCGCGAGGAAGTTGAGATTGTTTCTTGACAGTGGTGAAGGCAATGTAAGTGTTGGGGATTTTGTTTAATGGATTGTGTTGAAAATATTTGCTGTTTCATTTGTTCGAAGATTTGATGTAGTCAGATTAAACTGTCAATGGTGTTCAAAGTTTGCTTATTTTTGTTTTAACTTAAATGTATATTGTAAGGAGGAAGTTAAAGCGCATGTCTTTGTTTTAGGATGGAGAAGCCGATAAAAAGAATAGAAACTTTTGTGCTAGAAATCAAGGCCTTTAGTCACTTAATCGTGAAAGAGTTCCTAAAGGCTTATTCTTGCATCGTAGGACCTCCTAGAAATGTTCCTATGTATGAATCTTGCGTGGTTGTATATGTGTGATTAAAATAAAATTTATGTTAGAGTTCTTTACATCTTTGATGCTGTTGATTCAGAGCTTTAAAACTAGTTTATGCTATGTTTCTAAGTGTTTTTCTGTTTTTAGGTTGCAGATGTTGATAAAGCAAACTTGGTTGATTTGATGAGGTTTTTATTGAGTTATGCAAGCAATCTTTCTGCTTCCTTTGAGAGAAGCAAGCTCTACAACAGTGAGCCTGTTGAGTCATCCGTCCGACATTTGCTGGGCCAGTTGGCCAAACTGACTGACAGTCCTGCAGTGTCAAACTATTCTGGATATGAGCAAACTCAACCCCCAGATAGATATAGACAAATGCCAAGGTCTTTTGGGCAGAATGTTGAAATGAAAAGAGGTGACTGGATTTGCCCAAGGTAGAATCAATCATTTTCTGTCATCTTCATAGATAGTGTAGCTGTGTAGGGTTATATAACCTTTTTGTAAGCTCTGGTGGTATACTTGAATAAGGTGGCAAACATTGAAATTTCATTCCCTTTTATCATTGTGAATCTTTATTGTTATCTGTGATTAATAGCATTTTATTTTTTGTGCAGGTGTACTTTTATGAACTTTGCAAGAAATGTGAAATGCCTTGAGTGTGAGGAAGCACGGCCCAAGAGGCAATTGACTGGTGGAGAGTGGGAGTGTCCCCAGTGAGTGTTGCTTTTTTTACTCTTTTTTGTTTTGTTTTGGGAATTAAAATGGTGGATTTTAATTTATTCACTCCTTTATACAGATGTAATTTCTTTAATTATGGGAGGAACACTGTATGCTTAAGGTGTGATTGCAAGCGTCCTGGAGCAATCTCACTTGGTAATACCTACTCCAAGCCAGGTTTGGCATACAGCAATGGGATTTCTTCAAATAAATCTGATCTTGATAGGAGGTTAGCTGCCAATGAAGAGAAAGCACAAAGATGGTTTAGTAAGGTTTCTCAGCTTGATAGTACTTCTGATATGAGCAGTGCCATAGCAGATGAAGATTTTCCTGAAATCATGCCTTTGAGGAGAGGTGTTAACAGATTTGTTGTAAGTACAAGGAAAACACCTCTGGAGAGGAGGTTGGCCAATGCTCAGTACCAAAGAAACATGGATAATGATGGCATTGCTGAGCGTAATAATTTTCAGACTGGGGGAGTAAATAAGACACTAGATGCAAAAGTGAGCCGGAGTTTAGATGAGATCCTTGGTCGTTCATCCACCTCTTCTGGATCTAATGATTATAGTATCAATAGTGGAGCGGAGAATCCTGTGTCTGCATCTACTTCTACTTCTAGGCAGGATGGTCATCCTAGAGGAACCGATTCCAATTATGTTCCATTTGTGCCATTACCAGCAGATATGTTTGCCAAGAAACCTGAAAATTCAAAGATACAAGAGAGTCGTAATACTGTATCAAACGACGACCAGTCTGTTGTTTCAAATGCAGTTGGTAAAACGGATGCTGTTTCCAGGAGTGAGGAGTTGAACAAGTCTCTAAAAAGTCAGCAACTCTTTATGAAGAATGAAAAAGAGAGCAGGGACAAAGAGCTTGAACAAGATGAAAAATCTGAGAGATGGTTTAAGAAGGTTACCAAGCTCCATAATGTTACAGATCTTGGCAATGCAAGTTCTTATGAGGACTTTCCTGAGACAACGCGAATGCACAAAGGAGAAAATCTAATCAGCAGAAAGAAAGACCGTTCTTTGACTTCTCCTACTTACAAGAGACGTGCCGCAATAGAGCAAGCTGGCAATACCAATTATGTTCCCTTTGTCCCTTTCCCACCTGACTACTTTGCTAAAAAGGATAAGCAGCAACATAAGGGAACAGATTCTAGTGCAAAAGCAACTGATGAAACCTCTACCTCTGTGACACCAGAGAAGTTATCTGAGGTGTCCATTACAGAGGGTATGCAGCCAGTGCAAAACCAGCTGACGCAAAGCTCAAAGCCTGCTGGAGAGAACTTAAATGAGATGCAGAGAGATGCTGCTTATATGGCACAGACTAGTGGGTATTCAAACCAGAAATTTATCAATCCAAAAACGAGTAACGATGATAATTTGAGCAGTGAGTATTCTAAGAATGAGAGTAGGGAACGGATGACAGATTCAACAGGAAGTTCACCCCAACCATCTGGGAATCAGAATGTTACGAGCACCTGGAGTGGAAAGAGTTTGGAAGGTTCAGCGGTGAAGGAACCAGATCCATTGGACATGTCGGAGGAGGCCAAAGCAGAGAGGTGGTTTCGCCGTGTTGCCCAAATAAAGGACATTTCAGAGCTCAGCCAGATACCGGATGAAGATTTCCCATCGATAATGCCAATGAGGAAAGGGGTGAATAGGTTTGTAGTAAGCAAGCGGAAAACACCACTAGAAAGGAGGTTGACATCTCAACAGTATCGTAGAAATCTTCCAGTTGTGAACTCGGATACAGGAAAAAAGGACAGCGACAGTAGCTGAGGTAACAAAATCAATTTTGTATTATCACCATATATCCATATCCTTCTGAAACATCCAATAATTATGTTTGTTGGCTGATTTGCTCCTCTTTATTATTGGAGAAGAACAAGAAACCTGCCCCATAAAGTGTACCATTTTACATTTTTGTGTACTAAAAAGTTCTACAATGGCAAAATATTTCTAATTTTGGATTACATATCTTTATCATTTTGTGTTTTCAACGCATTGTTTTATGCATTAGTTAGGTAACAATGAATATAATAAAAAAAAGTAAGGATTTTGTCAGCAATGTTTAAAATATCACTGTTTAAAATATCACTGTCTTGTGATCATTTTATTATATATTATCGAGGTTTTTCTTTTCGATACTTCTATTATTCAGATTTCGACCTTTCACTACTAACGGAACTGAAAATATTAAGAAATCCTAACTAGATGCATAGGGAAATGAATAGAGAGAAGTAGAAAGGGTTAATGATATGAATTTTTTTAAAATTATAATAAAAAAAAATCTAATGTGATACATGAAATTTAAAAATATTTAATGTTGTATTTAATAATAAATTTGTTAATTAATTTGATACTTGGAGAGTTATTTATGTGTTGTCTCGTTATTTGTAGCTAGATATCTTCCAAAAATGTAACAACAATCTTTCTCCCAAGATTCTGAAACTCTTTCATTTACATACTCTCCCTAACTTTTGCAGCTTGTGGCTCAACATTCATTTTAATTATAAATCTTCGTGTTGACCAAAATCATTTATATTTATCTTCTAACCTGTGAGGTGTTGTTCACTTTGATTAAAAAATTTTACGGTTTGGTCTCACAAAATACGTTTCACAGATTTTGGGTTTAGATTTTTACAAATATATTATATCATATCTATACATTCTACTAATATGAGATTGGAGGCATTACAATATATATATATATATATATCTATATATATTAATTCTTGTCCATTCCTCAAAACTCCACAATTTTATTAGCTGTTCACTTTTCTTTAATTACCACTGCCCTTCACTTTGTTTTTCCATCAATGTCTGTCTTAAATTTACCAAGAAAATTGACTAGGAAGTGTGGTACAATCTTCCTTGATGTCATCACTTTTCTTGTCTTTCTTTCCCTTGACTTTCTGGCTACTGTTCTTTGTGTGATATACAAGTTACTTGATGAGTTATTTGATGGTAAAGGCTCTCCATGTTATTGTGAAAACAAGGGAGAGAAAAATGGGGAGTGTTGTGGTGAAGAGATCAAGGAATTGTCAGAGACTTTGAATGGGAGGAAAAATGTTTTCAGGGAAATGGGGTTTCTTGGTTTTGCAAGAAAGTGTGAATATGAAAAGAAAAATGATGATGATGGTGGTCGAAAAGAGTTGGTGCATAGGTGGTCTGATTGTGGATGCGAGTCCTTGGTTTCTTGGATGAAGAAAGATGATCAGAAGCTTCATGTTTTTGTGAAAGAGCTTCCACAAGGTAAATTTCAGGGAATTATTGTTTAATTCTTGATCATTAAGTTTGAACAGTACTGATGAATTAATCATTAAAAACGACATTGAATTATATATGTTCATTTTAAGTTTAGACCTTTTCCCTTTCTCTTGGATCATGTTTGATGTTTTCAAATATTGCTTCGCATCTAACTTTCCAAGTAGTCCAGCAAACAAACCCTATAAGGATAACATCTGAGCCTTATCTTTTTTTCGCTCAATGCTCTTGCATACAACCAGCAACCACTGATCAAAGATACTAACAGACCCAGTGTTTATTCTTAAAGAAAGTGAGCTACCAAACCATACCAATCTAGTCCACTCGCTCTGCAACAGAATATGCTCAATTGTCTACTTTTCTTCGCCACAAAAAGGACATTCCGGACTTGGCAGGATCTTCCTTTTATGCAAACTATCAAAAGAGGCCACTGCATTTAAACATGCTCTCCATATAAAACTTCTGATCTTAGGCAATATTTGCATATTCCAAATAATCTTCCAAACCTTATCGTCACATGGGAGGAGGATGCTCCACTGTTTTTTCTCTCCCATGCACTTTTTTTAGCAAATATAGTATCCAGATCGAACTGAACATTCCCCTTCTTCATTTGCACTCTATATCAGCCTATATCTCCCTCCAAATTCTGACGAATTGGAACCACCAGAATGGCATGCTTCTGCTGTGGAGTCACATAAGCATCTATATCTTCTAGCTTCCACATCCCTTTGTCCCAATCTATGATCTGTTCTACTCTTTGTAGTCTGTTCATACCCCTGCCTTCTGATTGCTGTAATTCTTCCCTCCCAAGTCTTGGAATCCACCTATCAGTCCGAATGTTAACCTTCTCCTCACTTAGCACTTGCCAGCTCAAATTTTCTTTAAGAAAGTCTTTACCATCCATTAAACTGCTCCAGACCCAGGATGCGCGTGCTCCTTAATTTTTCAGCTTCCAAGAATAAGCAATTTGGAAAGTACCTCCCCGTCAGTATTTTGACCCACAAAGCATTAGGATTTTCCATTGTTCTCCAACTTTGTTTTGCTAGCATCGCAATATCAAAAATACTTGAGTCGAATCCCATCCCACCACCTAGTTTGCTCTGAGTGAGTTTACTCCAAATGATCCAATGAATTCTCTGTTCATCCTTTTGCTGCCCCCACCAGAATTTAGCTATGATAGAATTCAGCGTATCACATAGCTTTTTGGGCAATCTAAAGCATGCCATAGTGTAGGTGGGAATCGCACATACCACTGCCTCAATCAAAATTTCTTTACCAGTTGAGATAGCAAGCCACTCTTCCAATAAGTGAGACAGAATGGGTCCACTACGACTGATTTTAATACCATCAGTATAATCATTTGACACAGCTTGATTTACCAATCCAGAGAGGACTTTCTGTCTGGTAATTGATGGTAAGATTATCAAAGCAATTATGAACAGCTTAGCCATAATGTAGGCAATTCGTTGATATAAATACTAAAAGAGATTAGATTGAATTTTCTAGAAAGGTCCAAGGACAAATTGGGAAACAAAAATTTGCAAGTGCTGGGAACCAAACCCTAACCTTGTTGGAATCGACCTCCTAAAGAAGGTGGATGAATCATTTGAGTTAAACGAACATATATCCATTACTATAACTAGGATGTAACAGTTGAATGTTGAATGAAATTAGCTACTGATTTTGATGCCAATCTTTTTGTTTGACAGTGAGAACCGATCAGGATTCAGGAGATCCAGCTGAAAATATGATATTTTTACATGGGTTCCTTTCTTCTTCCTCATTTTGGACAGAAACAGTTTTTAAGAATCTATCTGGACCTGTAAAGGATCAGTACTACAGACTTTTTGCTGTTGACCTTTTGGGATTTGGCAGAAGTCCAAAGCCAAGTGAGTTTGTATACGTTGAATGATAATGTGAAAATGATTGAGACATGTGTAATCTCTCCATATCAGTTGAATTCTTTCCATTTGGTGGCACATTCCATGGGTTGCATAATCGCTGTCGCCTTAGCTGCAAAGTACTCGAAGTTTCTCAAATCAGTCACTCTTGTTGCACCTGTGAGTAGTTTCATTAACCTTACATTGTTCAATAGAATTTGAAAATCAACCTTTTCAGTGCCAAGATTTCTAAAACACCCAAAACCAATTTTGAAATGTTTCTGTAACATGTTAATTGCTACATTTAGCCTTACTTCCCTTCTGCAAGAGATGGAACAAGTACTTCAATGGTGCTCAACACACTTGCAGGAAAAACGCTGTGGCCACCATTAGCATTTAGTAAATCTGTTATGTCATTGTATGAGCATGTGGGTAGATGTGTTTGTTTCCTCTTTTGCCGGAACCATAGGACACGGGAGCGGATTCTGAAGCTATTGATTCAAAGAAGGTAACAAATTACTGATACATGCATATACACAAATATATGCATTCAACATGACAAACATGATAATCATATGTTTTAATTTTAAGTTGTGTTTCATGATTTTACTATTCCAGGGAACTCAATTTCATGGCAGTAGACTTGACTAGGCATACCCATCATTCAGCTTGGCATAGCATGCACAATGTCATACGTGGAGAAGCAAAGTTCATGGATGACTATCTGGAAATTTTGATTAGATCTAGAGTAACGGTTTGTATCATCCATAGTGATAATGTGTCATGGGTTAAAGTTTTCTCTTATCGAAGCAATAGATTGTGCGTCACTTAAATTGACACTTCCACACAAGTCAATCAAGAATAGTTCGATATTTGAATAGACAACCGACAAGTCACAAGTTAATCTCAAGCATATACAACGATATATTTGAGTAAAATGGGAGCACACCAAAGTGGCTTTTGGCGTTTTCGTATACAAAAAAATGTTTTATTAATATCGAAAATAGTACAACAAGTCTTCCCACCATCATCGGGGCTACAAGAGCAACCCTAGATAAGTGGTCTAGCACGTACCTTAACCAGTGAGGTAGCTCAACAATATGTCGACTGCTCACCCCCTCTAACGAGCTAATGGGATTTTATAGCTACGTTACTAAGAACCATTATAATATTTGAAATGGAGATACTTTTCCTAGCACAAGAGATCTACCCTCCCCTTTGGCACCTCTACCTGGTCATGACCGTATACATGGGTGGTACATGACAACCTATGCTCGGTCATAATCTTATACAAGGTTGGCTCATGACATCATCCCTTACCTATTCTATCAATGTCCCCATTGACTTGTTGGCTTGAAATTTTTCAATATTTTGCTTGAGTGCTTAGAGGTCATAATCTTTCTCCCAACTAGTTTCTTCTGGTCATAAGCCCTTCTACTTCACTAAGTATTCATGAATTGATCTTCAAGATACTTTGGATAACCTGTCAACTAAAATTTCTTCAACTTGACGTCCTGATGGTGATTTCATGGAAATGGTAGCCCTAGTTGATTCATCGTGATTTGCATTTGTGGGGTTTGCATAGTAAGGCTTTAAGTTGCTCACATGGAACAAATGATGCACTTTCATCCATTTTGGCGAATCGATTTTGCAAGAAGCATTCCCCACTTTGAAAAGGATCTTTATTGGACCCTTATATTTTTGCACCAACTTACGATCCCACTTCTTCAGGAACCTAGTTTGTTCATGCACTAATATAACAAGAACAAGATCACCAACTTTGAATTATTGTACCTTTCAACCTTTGTTTGCCTATTTCTTCATGCGCTTTGATGCTTTTTGTAAGTATACTTACGCAATTTCAATATTTTATCTCCATTCTTTGCTAAGGTTGAAGGCTCGCGAATTCTTCCCTCGATATAGCTTAAGGGATGTATGAGGTAGTCTTAGTAGTTGTTTAATGACCACTTCAAACGGACTTTTGTTTATAGAAGAACACTTGTTGGAATTAAAACAAAGTTGAGCTACATCCAACAATGAAGGCCAATTCTTCTGATTAGCTTGAACAAAGTGTCTTAAATACTTCTTCAACAACCCATTAAATCGTTCAATTTGACCATTAGTTTGCGGGTGATAACTTGAAGAGATGTTGAGTTGAGATTCCAAGATCTTGAAAAGTTTCCTCTAGAATGACCCGATAAATCTTGGATCCTTTTCATTGACAATGTTTTGAGAAAGGTCCTAGTACTTGATTACATGTTTAAATATTAGTTGGGCCGTATCTTCCGCAATGTAATACATTTAGGCGAGAATGAATGTAGCATACTTTGAGAAACAGTCAATCAACACTAAAATAGACCAGAGATCGCTAACTTTAAGAAGGCTTGATATAAAGTCAAGGGAGATACTTTCCCAAGGTCTTGTGGGCACATGTAGTGGTTCAAGCATGCTTACCAGTTTCTTCTTTTCAAGTTTATCCTGTTGGCAAACGAGGTAAGTCTTCATATAATCTATTACATATTGTTACATGTGAGGCCAATAATAGCCTTGTTTCGATAAAGCCAAAGTACATTACCAACCAAGGGTGACCCACCTATGGTGTGTTATGGCATTCCCTCATTAACACTTAAACTTTTTGTTTTCGACATGAAGAATCGAAAACCTTTTATCAATAAGGCCCTATTTTCTTGCTAAAAGTATTTGGACTTCCCTTTTTTTACTAGCTTCAGGATAGCACTGGCTTGTGGGTTTTTCCTCATATTATCTTCAATTAGCTTGCCAACATCTGTTGTGATTTTATTAGCTACCATTGGGGCAATTCTCCTAAAGGTAGCCAACTTTGCTTGTCTACTTAATGCATCTACCACTTGATTTGTTCTTCCAGCAGTGTGTTCAAAAAAAAATTCAAATTTAGTTCAAAATTTTTACCATCTAGCTTGCGTAGCTGTGAGTTTTGGTTGGGTGAGAAAATGAATAACTGTCATATTGTTCGTCTTTACTATGAATTGTGAACCTAACAAATAATGCTGCCATGCTCTCTGGATTACTGCCAGTAGTTCTTTTTCTTTAGCCGTATATCTTTTTTTGGCTTCGTTTAACTTTCGACTTTCAAATCGGGTGCCATTCTTGCAAAAGTACTTCCCTAATAGCAAAATCAAATACATCTATTTAAACTTAAAAAAGGTTCCTAATGTTGGGAAAAACTAAGATAGGGTTCTTCATCATGGCTTCATTCAATCCTTCAAAGGCCTTTTGACATTCACTTGTCCAATACCATTTATGCTCTTTTTTCAATAGCTTTATGAAAGCCGTGATTCTACACGAGTACCCTTCCATAAATCTCTTATAATAATTGGTCAATCCTAAAAATGAATGGAGTTCATTGATATTTTTTAGTGTTGCCCACTCTTTGATAGCCCTAACTTTTTTTATGTCTATCGAATATGGCCTTGTTCAACAATGTGGCCTAATAAATAAATTTGTGTCTAAGCAAATGCACATTTCTTTTTTTTAACATACAGTTGGTGGTTTTGTAGTCATTGAAATACAAGACGTAGGTGCTCTTAGTGTTCTTCCAAGGTAAAACTATAGACCACTATGTCGTATAAATAAATGACCATAACCTTATCAAGATAGTCATTAAACACCTGATTCATTAAGGTACAAAACATGGCAAGGGCATTAGTCAATCCAAAAGGCATAATAAGAAATTTAAATGCACCATACCAAGTTACATAAGTAGTTTTTGGCTTATCTCCTTCAGCAACTTTGACTTGATGATAATCGGATCTCAAGTCTAATTTGGAAAAGTACTTGCTTGGCTTAGTTGATCAAATAAATCTGTAATAAGGGGAATAGGATATTTATTTCTCATAGTGACTTTGTTCAGAACATTATAGTCCACACATAACCGTAAACTCTCATCATGCTTTCTCTGAAATAACACAAGTGCCCCAAATAGTGCTTTTGATGGTCTAACGAACTCGGTTTGTAAAAGCTCATCTAATTGTTTTCTCAATTCAGCCAATTTTAAAGGAGCCATACAATATGGGGCTTTAGCTGATGGTTTAACTCTCAGAAGAAGCTCAATTTCATGGTCTATCTATCTTCGAAGAGGTAGGACCTTGGATAATTACTTTAGTATCACATTCACAAACTCTTTCAATACCTTTTTCACCCTATCAGGAATTGGTTCCAACTCAATCCCCTCATTGTAAATCGACATGGCCATATATGAAGGCTCTCTTCTCTTTACCCCTTTCTTGAATTATAATGCTGAAATAATTTTCTTCCACTCTTAAGAAGGATTGTGACTGGCACAACACACTAGTGTTCCCTAAAGAACAATAGATAACTAGCAGCAGGGATTGAGATTTCTTGAGCCAATATCATAAAGTCCAATCCTAAGACAACATTAAAGTCATCCATGAGGGAAACTGTGAAATCTTTATTTTTTTCTCATGGCTTCAACTTGATCATCACACTCTTAAAGCTTTCACTGATTGCAAAAGCTGACGAATTAACTGCTTTCATTTGTCCACAGTCCTTATTAACCTTGAAATCACACATTTTTGCTTTTGGTGTGATAAAGGTATCAGTTGCACCTGTATCTACCATGGCCTTTGTGATCTTTCCATTGAGTACTAGGTCTACATACATCAAACCTTTTTCATGTTCTTTTTTTATCATGTTTAGTTGGGTATGAAGGGCACTAAGGAATCACATTGAGCCCATTTTTACTGGTTATTTTTCAATTTTTTTGACTGTTTTAGATGCTTTAGTGAATTCTTGAGATGAGGCTCTTAGAGCATTAAAGGCACCTCTATGTGGGCATTTGGTCACCCGATAAGGCCTTTGGCATAGAAAGCAAGTTATTGGTTGCTTCGGCTTAAAATTCAATGCATTATTTACCTTGGGTTGGGTATTGTCTCAACTAGACGGTCACATATCTGATCTCTACTAAAAGGTTGATCCACTCTGACCATCTTTCTCTCACTCCTAAAGTTGGAGTTATTGTTACCTGATGAATGATTTTTCCTTTTTGAGGGGCCATCATTATAATCATGAAGACATTTGGCAGCAGCCATGGCCGTGGCCACATCTTGCACTTTTTATCTTTACAATTTCGTCATGGCCCAAGGTTTAAGGCTTTCAAGGAAATAAAACATCTTATCTTTTTTAGACATGTCTTTAATGTCCAACATCAAGGTAGAAAAGCTCATCACAAACGCTTGCATCATTTATGTTTGCACCAATTCTCGAAACTTCTTTTGGGTCATATACTCCACATTATCAGGAAAAAACTAATTTTTCAACTATTGCTTAAAATCTACCCAAGTTTTAATAGAGCATTCATCATATACAAATTTTGAATGCCACCATAGCTTGGCATCCTTGGCAAGATACATTGAAGCCATTGAAACCTTATCCTTATCTGATTTTGTGCGCACAACTCAAAAGTATTGTTCCATGTCAAATAGGAAGTTCTCAAGCTCTTTACATCTCTTATCCCCTCAAAACATCGAAGCTTCGGCACCTTGGCCCTTTCTATTTTTTCATCGAGCTAGAACTTGACCTAGCCACAACCATTTATAGCACATTCACTTGGGCCATGAGCTCTTCAAACTCTTTTTGGAGACATTCAAGGCATCTCTAGTCTTATCACCCAAGCTATGTGGAGTATCGATAACTTTTGCTAGGATGTCTCAATCTCCTTCAGTCGATCATGAGTTACCATATGAGCTTTTAGGGCAGCCTTCATGGCCTCAAGCTCATCAATCCTTTGTTGGTCACTAAATCCACCACTTGTAGCCATTTTATCAAATTTTTAGCACTTTTCAACCATGCTCTGATACCACATGTCACAGGTTAAGCTTTCTCTCAATGAAGCAATAGATCGTATGGTACTTAAATGGATGCTTCCACACAAGTCAGTCGAGAATAGTTCGATATCTGAATAGGCAACTAACAAGTCACAAGTTAATCTCAAGCATACATAATGCAATATATCGAGACAAAATGAGAGCACACCAAGACGACCTCTGACGTTCCCGTATATAAAAAAATATTTTATTAATATCGAGATGTACAATAAATTTTCTCACTATCGTCGAGGTTAAAGGAGCAATCTTAGATGAGTGGTCTAGCACGTACCTTAGTCAATGAGGTAGCTCAACAGTATGTCGACTGCTCACCCCTAATAGAATTTTATAATTATACTACCAAAAATTATTATAATATTTGAAATAGAGATATATTTTTTTTTTAATGCATGAGATATATTCTCCCTTTTGGTACCTCTACTCGATTATAATCCTATGCATGAATGACATATGATAACTTATGTTCGATTATGATCCTATACAAAATTAGCTTATGACAATTCGATTGTTTCATTAGAGTGCAGCAACAACATCAAGAAGAAGTTCCTAGACGTGGAACTTGACATTATTCAAAATGCTGATCATGGTACTATAATCTTTCATAGAAAGAAAGATTTTGCTATGAGTTTAGAACATATATGGGCATCATCCCAGACGTGACCAGGACAGAACAGAATCAATTTGAAGCTGATACAACACCAAGCCGCTGTCCCTATATATTGTGTGATAATCCCAAAGCCTGTACCAGAAATAAAATTTAGGAACAGGAAATTATCCTTTTTCTTTTTTTTTCCTTTTCTTCAGGTGATTATAACTAGTAATTACCATGTGAACAGAATTTATTTTGGTATTGATGATAGTTTAAAATTTAAAAGCATCAACAATGAGGAGGGAATCTGTGATTGGATAGTTGTTGGATGTAACTTACTTTATTTCTTTGTTGATTGTAAACCAATAAAAGGGTGCCATGAATTTAAAACCTGTGTTAGGGGACTAAGTGCAGTGAGAATCTCTCGTTTTCAAATGAGGGTTTATAAAGAAATAGATATGGTCGGTTGAAAGAATCTCTCAAGATTTAAAGCCTGACTTAATTAATTATCTTGCACATCACTTTCATCAGCACTTGATTAGTTTTCATTAATTTTAACACAACACACTAAATGCACGAGATAAAAAAAAATTTTAATCTACTTAAATGATATAGAATATTTATGAAATTTACCCTAACTTTATTTATTTATTTATAGTTCTTGTTATTTATTAATGTTGGTGGTGATTTTTTTTACCTAAAATACCTTATCTCAATGCAATTGTTTCAATAAAAGTTTTCAAAAAAATTCTATTGGTAGAGAATGCTAATAAAATGGTCTTTTTCTTCCTGCAAAGTACTTCAATTTGAAAAAAAAAAAAAAAAACGTGAAGAACGATGGATTTGATGGGAAAGATGCAAATGAAAAAAAAAATGCTAAATTGGATAAAATTGTAGGGACAATTAAAAAGTGTGACATTTTGGTTTTTTCTTGAAAATGTTTTTTGTTTTCTTCCCTTTGAAAAATCTTTTTCAGTAACCATCAAAAAAGAGAATCTTATTAGTATTATTATATATATATATATATATAAAAAAAAAACTCTTTGGATTATTTATTTATTTTATTAAAAAATTGGAGAGTTAAACGTAAATACTATCTTAGATATTTTTCCAAACATGACAAATACATCCCTATATTTGATTTGATTTGTCACTCTTTTACACCGAAAAATCATTTAAAATAAAAATAAAAAATTGAATAAGTGTATATTAAGAAAATAACTATTCTAAATTCGTCTTTTTAGCAAACTATTCTAAATTGTTAGACATATTCAAAAGCGATATAAACACATTACCTACAAATAAAATGATAAATTAAATAAAATCTCAAATAAAAAATTAAAATTTTCTCATTAAATAAATTATGCAATGTGTAACGAAAACAAACTACAATTATAAAAACATAAAAATTTTATATAAAATAATATGAGTTCGGTTTTAATGAAAATTTTAAATTTTATAAATAAATTAAAAGATTGATGAACTTTTTTAATTATTATTTTTATTTTTAATATACAATTAAAAGATATATCATTGGGCTAATTTTACATGAAAAATTTAAAAATTTTGCTAACAATAAATAAAATTATTTTCCAAATATTATTTACTCGAACAAAAAAATCAAACTAAGTTAAAGTTACAGAAATCTTTTTCATAAATCAATTCATTAATTAAATATGAAGAACACATGATTATTATAATTATAAAAGAGAATATATTTAGGTCCTCATCTTTTTTTTTATTTTTTATTTTAAAATATAAAAGAGAATATATTTAGGTCCACATTTTTTCTTTGTTATTTTTTTAAAAAAATTAAGATAAATAAATTATTTAATTTTTTATATCAAAATAAAATATATCATAATTAATAATTTAAAATAAATAATTACAAATTATATATTTAAAATAATCTCAATAAACAATTACCATAAAATTTAAACTCAAAACCTTTTTATTTAAAAAAAATAAATATTAACTAATCAAATCAATCACTTATTATAACTCTCTATCTTTTACCAAAGTATTAAGTCTCAAGCACAGTGGCTAGGTGCCCCAGATAATTCACTTTGGTCTTATTAGAAAGATTAGTGAAGTCTGTTCTGCACCCTACCATTGTCTATTCTACCATTTTCTCTTCTCTGCCAAGAACCAAAACAAACCAAATCACCACTGCAAAAGTTAAAACAAGGCATAAATTAACACCCGCTTTTTTTTTTTCTTTTGTTCAACCCATTAATTATAAATCTGGTGTCTTTTTATTACAAGGGTTAGATTTTGGGGTGGTTGGTTTTAAGATCATGGATTTGGAATTCTTGCAATCTGTGGATGTTCAGATTCTTGCTGGTGTAGCAGTAGCTGTTTTAGCCATTGTTGTTGCTGTTGCTTATCTGTTTTCCTCTAGGAAATTCAAAGGTATTGACTTTTCACTCAATTGGCTTTTTGCATATATTTTAGCTGTTAAAGTTTTGTCCTTTTATTCAAATAGTGTTTCTTTTTTTATTTTTTTGATTGATTGTACTTTGAATTCTAAGTTATGGGTGTAGCAAATCCTTGATTTCTGTGCTTGTGTCTGTTGGTTAATGTAATAATGGGTATTTTTTTGGGTATGTTTGGTATTGACACATTAGCTTGTTAGAATGTAGTGAATAAAAGATGAAACTGGGATGTGAAAGTCTTCAAATTGGTTTAGTTGGTTGTAGCATCGTTGAGTCTTTTTTCTGCTTCTCATGATTTGTTCCGATTCCAGCATGTTTTGGCATACTGATTGTGGATAGAGTTCCGTTTCTTCTGTGGAGTTTGAAATAGAAATACTCTGGAGTGAACGACTTTCACATAAAACATGAACAGCTTGGTGTCTGGGATGGAATAGCCGTTTACATATAGCTCGTTATGGAAGTATTCCTTTTTTTTTTTTTTTTTTTCTGTCAAAGTGCAATCGTATTTATAAAAAATGTCAAAACAGCTGAAGTACTTTACCCAGCTGTCAGAAGCAAGTAATACTAATCAAGTTGTTTCCATGTAAGCAATTTTATTCATAAGTACTGAATGCCTACTTGGCTTTCATGCTTAATTGCTGAGCTCAAGGGCATTGAGCAATTATAACTTTGCTAGGTCAGCTTGATGACTGATTGGGGCTGGTATTATGTGGCTCTTATAAAAAACGATGTACGCCGGAAGCACTTGAAAAAGTTTAAAAGCAGCTGGAGTCAATCCACTGCAATATTTTGTTGAATATTGTTCTGAATTCCTGATTGTAAAGTTACATGCTCAGACATGACAAGAGACCAATCTCTGTGTTGGATTTAACATATGACTGCTAGATTAGGCAATTGCTGGTTCAAGCAGTAAAGGTGGTTGAATCTACTTGAATTTAGCTTGTTGGGACTCGCTGAGCTCCTGATGTATCCTCTGTTGTTGCTTGTACTCTGTTTGGTCCCTAAATATTTTATTCCCAATCCTTGTATGCTTGCTTCCTTCATCATTCATCATGTTGAGCTCAAACTATTTTATTGTGGTTAGCTTTTTGTATCTGAATACACAATTATTTGTTTTGCCAAAAATTTGCATTAGACTAGTTTAAGATTTTGGAGATGGTTATTCGCTTTTGCAAATGGACTTTTCCATGTTAATGGCTATGTTAGAAGGGCAATCACCTTTTTTTGTCCCTGTAAAAGTTAACTTACTGAGACTTAAAATATGCCTCTGCTTCTGCGTAAATTCTTCCTGTCTGTGAGTTTTGGTACTGTATTCTCTTATGAAGTTGCTCACTTTATCATATGTGCTTTTAGGCTGTCTAGATCCAGAGAATTTCAAAGAGTTTAAACTTGTCAAGCGCCAGCAGCTGAGCCATAATGTGGCAAAGTTCACATTTGAACTTCCTACTCCTACTTCAGTTTTGGGTCTTCCCATTGGACAGCATATAAGCTGCAGGTTCAGTTGATTGTATTCATCCTTTATGTATTTTTCCAAATGCTTGTGAATTGGAGTACTAGATAAGTTAGATGTTTTTCATATTTACAGGGGCAAGGATAGCCAAGGTGACGAGGTTATTAAACCATATACACCTACAACATTGGATTCTGATGTTGGTTATTTTGAATTAGTTATTAAGGTACTTGCCTGCAATTTCTTGTTGGTTGGAGTCGACTTCAGTGTGATACTTAGATATCTGGGTGTTCACATCTGCTAACTTTATAATGGAATTTTGCTTGTAAGTAGATGTATCCTCAAGGAAGGATGTCATACCATTTCAGAGAGATACATGTTGGTGATTATCTTGCTGTGAAGGGACCCAAGGTATATGGTTTCTTTCATATGAATGCATAAAGTGCTCTTAGCTGTAGGTTCTTGGTTCCTTTTTGCCCTGTTTCATAGGGCTTTGTCAATTGAGAAGATATGCTGGTTAACATTCCTATTGGTGTTAGCAACAATGATTTTTTGTTTTTTTTTCTGCAAGCTAGACATTTTGTCTTTGTTGCAACCAGAAATATTAGATTATCCAAACAAAACTGATTGTTACTTTCATTGTTGTTGAGTATGATGCAGTCTGACCAAACTTTGCAATGCATTTCCTATAGAATATGAAAATATCATGTTTGTTTTATTATGTGTTCCTCTTATTATTAAAGGCTTGCCGCCTAGATGGCTTTCTTGCCTCTTCTAAATTATGTTCCACATGATAATTCACATTTGGTTCTCATTTCTTTGTTTTGTTGTTCTGCAAATTGTTTCTTCTAGGGGCGGTTCTCATATCAACCCGGTCAAGTTAGAGCATTTGGGATGATTGCTGGAGGCTCTGGCATTACTCCAATGTTCCAAGTATGTCATCCTCTGTTAAGAAGTGCTTCTTTAAATTTATTTTCCCTTATTTATGAGATGTTGGCTTGCCATATGTTTTAACTATAGTCTTTTGCAAGGTTTAAGTGTTTACATTCACCCTCTTTTTTTTTTTTTTTGGTTTTTGTTTCTGATTAGGTAGCCAGAGCCATATTGGAGAACCCAAAAGACACGACAAATGTACACCTTATTTACGCAAATGTCACATATGAGGACATTCTTTTGAAGGTATTTTACTTTCCTATTTCTTTGTTGTTAATCTTTCTACTACCTACTTTACTGATCGCTTCAAACTAACAAACCTAAGACAGGTTTCTTCTGTCTTCCCCTATGGAGAAAAGAATACAAGCCTGCCTCTATGGGCAACGCTCAGCTATATTGGGCCCTGAATGCAATTGTATACTAGGCAAGACCTTTTTTTTTTTGGTGGCAGCAAGGTCCAAACATAAGATTGGCTGAAGCCCTTATGTTTTTACTACCTAAGTCTAGGCCTTTAGACTCACCTCATAGGACTTAGAATGACTCAAAATTTATTTTATTTTATAATAATAAGCATCATGACAGATTTCATTCCCTTCTATCATTATTAGAGATCACATTATGAGTTTCCTCAAATAGCTGTAACTATTTTTAAATGTTGCACATTTAATGTGCAATGATTATTCTGGTTACCATGGATCTACTCACACAGATGAAACACAAGCATGGGTGGTTAGTGACTTGTTCATAGGAATTAAGAAATGTAATACTTCAAGATGTAAATGGATCAAAAGTAAAATGCAAATGATTTATTTGCAGGAAGAGTTGGATAGCCTTGTTGCCAAATACCCTGGTCGCTTCAAAGTCTACTATGTTTTGAACCAGGTTAGTTGCCTTTCCTATGTGGCAGTCTCCTTACATGTTTTTTTCGTACTTCATCTGGCTCATTTTTCTGTAAATCTTGTCATAGGCCTAGGAGCAGAGTAGCTTTATCTGAATCTGAAGTGCTGTTATATTCTTCCCCTTTCACTTTTTCATGCATAGCAGCAATGCAAGTACAAATATGATGGATAATGTTGTTAAGCTTTTATTGAAATAAAGAATAATAATGCCAGAAAATTTTCTGCTTTGACTAGACCATGAACAACAACGATTTTCGAAATATAAATACTTTTCAAATGTAGAAAGGACAACCAGAGTGGTGCCTGTTAGATAAAATATTTGAGAAGGAAGTGAGTTTTGGAGTTCATATCCATTGTATTTGTTACTCCATGAAAGTCGACACATACAATTTCCTCTGATTCTGTAATGCACTTGCTGTGTGGTTTGAACCACTTGAACAATGTCTGATAAGTGTTACTTCATTCGAAAATCATGACTTGTTGGACTAATTAATGGTATTCTTACATGATTTACTGAACTGTTCTGACATGTGCAATAAGCCACACGCGTAATATAGATTTATAGTGGCATCCGAACAGCATTTTTGATAAATAAACGTTTCTATTCCTTCATCTCTTTCCATTTGTGTGTAGTCTTGTGCTTGAATGGCTTTGGTTGGCGTGTTTTTACATACTGCATGACCGAGCTAATGGCCATTTTATTAACAAACTATATTATGATGATGTTATTTCCTCAGCCTCCTGAAGTATGGGATGGTGGTGTTGGCTATGTGTCAAAGGAAATTATTCAAACCCATTGCCCCGCACCGGCACCTGATATCCAGGTATATTACCTATTCCTTTACATTCTTTATCTTAGCATTCCTGAACTCTCTAAGCGATTTACGAATATTGCTACTGATATCATGGATAGAAAATGTTTTAGAATTAAAAGCACCAAGAAGAAACTCTAATTTTATATTGGATCTGTAGATTCTAATGTGTGGCCCGCCACCCATGAACAAGGCCATGGCTGGACACCTTGAAGCTCTTGGATATTCAACCGATATGCAGTTCCAATTCTGATCCCTCTAGACGAGGTCAAGCTCCACTCGACTGTTATTTATCTTGTTCATTGGTGCGAACAAAGCCATTTGTTATGTGCTCTTCTCCTGTTCTAATAGGAACTTTTTAAGCATTTGGAGCCAATGGCCACTTGTTATAAGGGTTTACCATGACCCATGTACTGGAATAATTTAGATTTAGTGAAGCAAGTGAGCTATTTTCCTTTTATTTTTTAAATAAAATGAAGCTAGTGAATTCAGCAACCTCATTCTGCAACTTTTATAAGTAGAAATTGTCCCCATTTTGATGTTACTATTGAGGAAAAGATCAGTCAACATTATCCCATTTTGATGTTACTAATGAAGAAAAGATCAGCAAATATTATCCCAGCAAGAAGATGACAATGTAGCTCAGTAGCAGAGTTGCTTTATATGAGAATTTTTATGGGGTTAATGTGTGATTTGGTACTGGTAAAAAATCACGAATTTTATTTTTGTTGAACATTGTTTCACGTATTAATTTTATTAATGGTAAGATGATATGGTAAAAAAAAAAAAACAGTAAGTAATATCATGCTATGTGGTATATTTTTATTATTCATTTTTTGTTATGATAGTATTTTGACTAACAATGTTAGTCAATGATGTAAAATATTTGATGAAAACAAAATTTAGATATTTAAATGTGATTATTTTTATAAATATTAAATCTTTAAAAAATAATATAATTCAGGATCAAATTATATATTAATCATTTTTTTTCATTTTAGTGATATGATATGATGAGAATTCAAAAGGGTTGGATTAATGAGAGTTTATACACATCACATAAGATTTTAAAACATTATTTGTCAACATCTTAAGTCTTTCGATATTATTTACAAATCTATTTTTTATTAAATATAATAATTATTAATTAATTTGATGATTTTCAATATACTGATTAAGATGTTATTTTTTTTATTAATAATAATAATATTTATTAAATTTAATAATTTAAAACACTATATAATCATATGATATAAATAATGTAAGGTACGAAAGTGATATTATTTAAAATTTTAATAATTATTATATTTAAATTTAATAAAATAAAAATTATATTTATATTTTTATATCAATAAAATTTATAATATGTAATTTTTATATTATATAAATATATAAATTATCATATCTAATATTTATGAATGTTATTAAACTCTCCTTAGTAAATAAAATTTATTGTTCGGTTTCGCTCAAACATTTTTTTTATGACCAGTAGCTTAGATCTAATCCTAGATTTATTGTGGCTTCCAAAAAACCTACTCAACATAGATTTATAGATATATGTGACCACTTATCAGCATCCCCGTGCAGCTTTGCTCAAAGCACTAGGAATAATTTATAAGGTGGCAGCCGGATCTGCTAATTGGTTTATATAAAAACCCACGAGGAAGGGAAATTCAATAAAAAAAAATAAAAAGAAAGATTAAAGATTGAGTGGTTAGGTTTTCTAGCTCAACTTTCACCTGCCCTATGACCTCTTTTTTTTTTTATCATTTATGTTAAATCATATAATTTTTGTTTACAAAAATACTTCATTCTCATGTAAAAGAAAATATTATAAAATTTAAATTTTAAAATTATTAAATATTATCTTTTAAAATAATTATATTAATTTATTGAAATAAATCCTTAGTTCTAAAAATGATAGTTATACCAAAAATAAAAGGTCTTAAAGTATATGCTAAATTGCTAATTAAGCCATCATTTTTATTAAAAGGGAATAAAAATTGGGTGGAATAAGTTATTTTGATCCATGCTTTAATTACAAATAATTAATCTGGATTAACTTTGTTGAATTAAGTGAAGGAAGTGTTAAATTCATGAAGAGAAACTGGATGAACACACACGTATTAATTATAGCTTTAATTAAATTAAAAAAGGGTTTCTTGCCATTGAAAATTCACATCCATTTATTTAAGCAGGCAGATTGTGTGTTCAACCTACTATAATAATCATGAAATTTTAGAAGTTCATGATTTATATTTATAGTAAATTTGATTATTCATATATTTATATTATATAAAACATTAAAATTTATATATTTTAATCATATTTTATATAAAAATTAAAAATTAAAATTATATTGATATAAAAATTTAAAATATATTTTTTATTATATTAAATTCATATATAATTAATATTAAAATTTTAAATCATATTATTTTTATATTATATTTATATCATATTATTGTATCATATATTAAATTATAAAATTTATTTTATAATAAATATTTAAATTTAACATTATTGACTAGGTCAATTGTAAATTCAATTTCAATTTGAAGCTTTTTTTTTTGTTTTTGGGTATTATCCTAGAGCGATGTGTCACTCTCCATTCTGATCTACAAAAGCGGTCAAATTTGTCAGCATTACAATATTCAACCTATTTTATTATTGCTAAGTTACCTGCCCTAGATTTCTCATATAAATGAGTTCTACAATTTAGTCCAAAGCCATTAATGAATGGGTTGACCACCTACTTCCTTTTCACCCAATTTGATAGCTTTAAGGTCGTTGGTTTGGGGTTGTTATAGCTATAGGAAATTTAGAGAAGAAACCACTAACAAATTTTGACTTGGAAAGAAATATGAAATTTATTTTAAATCGTTGATAAAATTATATTTAAAAATTTAACGATCAATAAATTTAAATTTTAAAATAAATTTTAATGTTTTTAATTTTTTTTATTCTTAAACTGATGATTTTTTTGTAGTAAAAAATGTTTTTAACTAAGGGACTTTGGAGATTTGTTAAATTAATTTGGGTCATAACAAATTTTAAACTATGAATATATGCATATAGTCCATAAGAAAGAAAAGAATATATGCATTTCTTGATAAAAGAAAAGTATGTGCATATGTTAAATTAAAGTTACATGCTAAAATGAATTAGTACTACAAGCATTATAAATCATCAAAATGGACCAAGTTTATTTCCAAAAAAAAAAAAAAAAAAAAAGAGAAATGCCATAGCTGAAAACAAAAAAACTGAAAGCATTTTAAATATGTATATCTATATTTATTTATTTATAAGAAGGGAAAAGAGGAAGGCAGAACACCGGAGGAAGAAGTCTAGTGCAAAGAAAACCAAAGCCCGCTTCTTTAGAAAGACCCTATTCCCACGCTTTGTTTTCTTTCAATCTTTTGCATACGAGTGAACGAGAGAGAAATTGAGAGAAAACTGAAAAAGAAACAACAATCAAAAGCGTCACAACTTGAAACAACAACTACTTCCCATTGTTTGGTTTGCTTGATTCCAATTTTGACAGTTTTTCTCCATTTCCTTGCTGATCAATAACAATTCACAAACAGTGGTTTCCGTTCCAATCTTTTTGGATTGGTTTTTCACTCTGGGTTTGTTTTGTTTTCTACATTGGTTGATTCCTTTGTCTTGCGGTTTGAAAGAAAGTAGATAGAGATATTATGGTTGTGGATTCATGGCTTGTGTAAGTGATTTGAATCTTTTTTCTACATTGGAATTCAATATAGAGGTTATATAGATTCTTGGGAATTGGATACGTATTCTTTTTGTTATAGTGGATTCAATTTCTTGGATTATTATATACATCACCATGGCTGAGAAGCAAGGATCTTCTATCACCAGGAAATCTTTCTTTTGCTTGTTTTTGACAACTACAATGTTGTTTGTATTATCCTGGTTGTTTGTGTTACGTTCAACAGGCCATTCTGGCTTCTTTGATCGTAAATTGCTGCCAACTGAAAAGCTTCGTACCGTTATAAACAATGGCAATTCTGAATCTTCTAGTCAGAGTAATGTTGAATCTTCAAATGGATCAAGTCGAGCAATTCTTGCAAATAATGAAGAAGGAGAAGGAGAAGAACCTCCAAAGAGAGAAGAAGGATTCCAAGATAAGGATGGTGCTATGAATTGTAATGGGAATGTTAAAGAACCACTCAAGATTTTCATGTATGATTTAGACCCTGACTTTCATTTTGGACTCTTGGATTGGAAGCCCGAAGGCGGTAGTGTTTGGCCTGATATTAGAACTAGTATACCATCCTATCCTGGTGGATTGAATTTGCAGCATAGTATAGAATATTGGCTGACATTGGACCTGCTGGCATCAGAAATTTCTGACAATCCCAATAACCGTGTTGCAATCAGAGTGCAAAATTCTAGCGAAGCTGATCTCATATTTATACCTTTCTTTTCTTCGTTGAGCTATAATCGATTTTCCAAGGTGAACCCCCATCAGAAGAGGAGCAAGAACAAGGTGTTGCAAGCCAAGTTGGTGAAGTTTGTGACAGCTCAAAAGGAATGGAAGATGTCAGGGGGACGAGACCATGTTATCATGGCTCACCATCCAAACAGCATGTTAAATGCTAGGATGCAACTGTGGCCTGCAATTTTCATACTCGCAGATTTTGGTAGGTATCCACTGAATATAGCAAATGTTAACAAAGATGTGATTGCACCTTACAAACATGTAATCAAAAGCTATGTCAATGATACATCTGATTTTGATAGCCGGAAAACTTTACTGTTCTTCCAAGGAGCCATATACAGGAAAGATGTAAGTGCCTTTTCTCTGATATAATTCTGTTGGTTTTACCTGGAATTCTGTTTTATGTATATGCTTAGAACTTATGTTAGTGTAATCATATGTAAGACTGGTTTTGCATGTTATGTTTTGTCTATTTTGTAATTTGTTCTTGTTTTTCTGTCATCCAAGTCAATGTTCTGAGAGAATTTCAGGACGGAAATTGTTGATTGAATTGACTCACTGAAAGCCCTTTATGTTTGTAGGGTGGATTTGCTCGACAAGAGTTATATTATCTTCTAAGGGATGAAAAAGATGTACATTTCTCGTTTGGAAGTGTTAAAAAGGATGGGGTGAACAAAGCTAGCCAGGGAATGCACTCATCCAAATTTTGCCTAAACATAGCAGGTGACACTCCATCATCAAACCGCCTTTTTGATGCCATTGCCAGCCATTGTGTCCCTGTCATTATCAGTGATGAGATTGAGCTCCCGTATGAAGATGTTCTCAACTACTCCGAATTCTGCTTATTCGTTCGTACATCTGATGCTCTCAAAGAAAAATTCCTTATAAACCTCATCAGGAGCATTAAGAAGGAAGAATGGACTCGAATGTGGGAGAAGTTGAAAGAAGTTGAGCCTTTATTTGAGTTTCAATATCCATCAAAGGAAGGTGATGCTGTTCAAATGATATGGCAGTCATTGGCACACAAGGTACCTGCTATTAAGATGAAGGTAAACAAATCTAGGAGATACTTTCATTCTGTTCCTCGCAGAGAGAGAGGGTTAAGAACTATTCCTGCACCACATAACTTCTGGTGAGAATTGGAACACAAATTCTCATCCTTTTTATGGATTTGAACCATTTTAGAGATCTTGATATCAAAGGCATTAGGATTTTGAGACCGAAACAGATTTTTTTTTTTTTAAAGAACAAAAAGCCCATAGGTCTAGGCACTTAACCTTTCAATTGTGAAGAATCCAGAAGTTAGTTCAGTTGGCACATTCTGTCATCGTGGCATAAAACAAATCCGAAGTTCAAATCTCAGCACCTGTATCTCATTCCCTTGTTGTTAAGACTTTGGTCTCCCTTATACACCCCCCAAAAAAGGGTATATGACTTCCATGGAACTAAAGTCTGAATCAGTTGAAGTATTGAAAATTGGTTCAAATCTTTGTATTTGTGTACACGTTTTTACGCAACTTATTTGTCCTGAAAGAGTGGTACATAGTGGTTTGTTTTTCACAAAGGTTTTGCTCAGTTATGTGGAAGTTCTATGCCTGGATTGAAGAGGTCTGCTGCTATGACCTGTCTATTCTATAATGTAAAATTATGTTCTTTTCTGCAGTTGAACATCAGATACCAGCACATTCTCCAGTTTTATAATTTTGTAATCCAAATTAAGCTACTTGTCTTGAAGAACCCCAACAAATTTCTCATGTCCCTTTATAATTTCATATTCCAAGCTGTGAAAACACAATTTCATTTTAAGTTATACTTTGTAGATGGTTTAAAATTTTTAATATGAAACATGGTTCACAAGCCATAATACAGATCAAAATTTTAAAACAATTGTTTTATATACTTAATCAAACACGTTTGAACTTAATTATTCATATAATATTTGAACATTTAATTCAATAATAAATGTATATTTTTTAAGGAGTTTATGTTTATATTCTCCAAAAAAAGTCATTATTACATAGGAAAGTTTTGGGCTAAGGCCCCAACAGGAGAAGGGACTAGACTTGACTTTAGCCCATAAGTTTCAGAATGGCAATTGGTAAGAAAAGGGGAAGGTAATAAATAATAAAGAGAAAAAAAGAGGGGCATAAGGGCAATTTTTGTAAGGTTAAATATGAAATAAAACGAAGATATAAGGGTTCTACAACAAAAAGGAAAAGAAAACCCGATCTAAAACCTCATCAGTAAAGGGCAAAAAAAAAAGAAAAAAGAAAAGAAAAGAAATGGCACAATCATCTTCTCTGCTTCATCTTCCTGCTTCAAAACCCTTTATTTGTCCACCCAAACGGCACCCTTTTCCACCCTTCAAAGCTTCAGTTAACTTTGCATTATATAATAAAACTAAATTCAATGTACAGAATGGCTCCTTTGCTGCAACAAAAGGAGCTTCTTCTTTAGTAGTTGAAGAAGAAGAGGAAGAAGAACAAGAAGAGGAATTTGAAGCTGTTAACATTGCTGAAGATGTAACCCAGGTTTTTTTTTTTTATATCCATTTTCCCCTTCAATTCCAGGAAATTATATTGTATTTTTTATGTTAAAGTTCTTGTCTTTTGTTTTCGTTTTGGGGTTTGAGGCTAAGATTGTTGATGGGTTTTTGGTAATTTGTCTTGAATGGGAAAAAGCAAAAGTGATTGGCGTGGTTTAAGAGCATTTTGGTTGTATTTAATGTTTGAATTTCTTTGCTTTTATTGTTTTGAAGGATACCATTTCAAATAGGTGTAGTGATACTTTTCCTTAAATTGGGGAATAGAAAGTGATTAGTGTGATTTAAGAGTGTATATGATGGCATTTTCTTTGGCCGTTGAGAAAATGAGGGGTAAAAATACTGTGCAAAAGATATTCTCCTACAGAATATTGATTAATTTTGCTTTTTGTTTCTTCCAGATAATTTAATTAACTGATTGATTACATTAGGATAGACCCTGTTATTAGGATTTAGTCATTTACTGGTTATGAAGAAAGAGTTATGTTAAAAAAAAATATGATTGTGAATTATGCTGTGAGATTTGCTACGGATTTGGATGTGAAAGGTTTTCCCTTTTTTGTTGTTTCTTTAACCTCCTTCAGTTGCTGGTAATTACATCTCCATCTTAAGAGTTGGAATGATTCATAAAGTCTAGTCATCATTGTGGCTTACTGCCTATCCTTTCACCATGTTGTTGTCAATTTTATGCCATTACCTTTAATTGGTGCCTGTGGTAAGTGTTGTGCCTTAGTTTGTTAAACTTTGATAGTGCTTATGTTTCATAGCTTTACTGATTTTGTGCAACTGTGACAAAATTGATGTAGTTGATTGGTGGTACTCCGATGATATATCTCAACAAAGTTACAGAAGGATGCGTGGCAAACATTGCTGCAAAACTTGAATCCATGGAACCTTGTCGGAGCGTCAAAGACAGGTAAATATTTTGTCTATTAAGCGTTCAATAGTGTATTTAGCCTTTAATGGTAGGTAAACAGCAATTTCTGTTAATGAATGATTCGCCATATGGATGGGATCATCTTTTAATGCAACTTTGGGGCATGAATCATCTCTCTGGTTGTGCTTCAAGTCATCAATGGAACTGGAGGCTCTTAAAAGTTGTGGATGACCTCAATATGTACCATAATGTGCAAGTTCATAGTTTTATTTCTTGTATGCCTATTGAAAATATGTTAAAAATGACTGGTTTTTTCTGTTTTTCAATGGTTGACATTTTAGGATTGGTCTTGGTATGGTACTGGAGGCTGAAGATAGTGGAGCAATTTCTCCTGGGAAGGTTAACATTGTTCTCTTTATTGCTAGTGCTCTTGAAGAAAGTCCCTGCAAATATGCCATTGATTTCCAAAAATTCAAGGGCTTATAGTCTTAGACACGTTTACACAGTGGAAACCACCTGTTCTTTTAGCATGATTACGTATAATATTTTTTGCGGGTTATGTCCATCTGCAGACCATATTAGTGGAACCGACAAGTGGAAATACAGGACTTGGGATTGCTTTTGTTGCAGCAACTAAGGGTTCTAAGCTTATCGTAACTATGCCTGCTTCTATAAATCTTGAAAGGAGGATCCTTTTACGTGCATTTGGAGCAGAGATTGTTTTGACAGACCCAGAAAAGGGCTTGAAAGGAGCTGTTGATAAAGCTGAAGAAATTGTGCTCAACAATCCAAATGCCTTCATGCTTCAACAGTTTGATAATATGGCTAATACAAAGGTAATGTTTTTTTTTCTCACAGTAGACCTCTTTGAATGATGTCGGTTTACCTAAATGGCTAAATGTTCATATCCGCTGATATTTTATTCTGAGATAGTTATGTTAAAATATTCTTACGTGAACTGCAGATTCATTTTGAAACTACAGGACCAGAAATATGGGAGGATACTTTGGGTAATGTTGACATACTTGTTGCTGGAATTGGAACTGGTGGTACCGTTACAGGCACTGGATGTTACTTGAAAATGATGAACAAAGAAATTAAGGTCTCTTTGCTATTTAAGCCTGTTATGAATTTCATTACAATTTTACAGCCTTAGTGCTTACTGAAATTCTCAAGCTTGCTACTATTACTCACCTGAGATGTTTTTTGTTTTTTTAGGGGTGAAATTTCAATAACATAACATTATTGAAAATTTTTTTCCTTTTCTTTTTAATAATGTCAGTATTACACATTTGGGAAAGGTTGGTGCAGCAGGAAACATTGATTTGTATTTTTTGTAGTTCTTTTATGGTCTTGCTGATTGGCAGTGTTAATGTGTATTTTGCTGCATCCATCTCAATCTTTTTTATCTTCTTATTGACTACATGTAAGTTTTCCTTCTTTAATATTATTGTTTACTCAGGTAGTTGGTGTGGAACCTGCGGAGAGGAGTATAATCTCTGGAGAAAACCCTGGTCAAAATCTTTTTATCTTCATAACATAAATTCTTTTGCCTGTTTCTACCTCAATGTATTTGTTTGGCTTTTGCTGCTAATAGCATAAAAAATTTTGGTACAGGTTATGTGCCAAGCATCCTGGACGTTAAATTGCTTGATGAAGTTATCGAGGTGAAGATTGTCTTTCCCTCTATTTTCTCACTTCTTTTCTTTTCAGGATGTAGAGGAATACCACTTGGATTTCTTAGTTTTTCTCTGGTTCCAACATTCTGTTCTGTAAAAAACTAGTTTTATGGCACACATTATTGCGATTATGTCAGATATTCTTTTTGGTTAGTTGTTTGTGAATTTTTCCTCTCCAAGTATGTAGGGTGCTCATCAGTTCACTTCAGTGCTCTCTTATTCATTCTTGCAAATGACTAGTCTGACTGACCTTCAAACAAGATATGTCAAATGTTTTTTGTATAACTCGGAAGTGGTCTCATTAGAGAGCCTGTTTATCTAAGTTGTTAGAGGACATAAAGTGTGTAAATCCATTGAATACAAAATTTCTTTGAGTGACAGACTAACATGTAAGAGCTAGAGCATACCAGCAGGTTAACTTGTAATGAAATGCTAGGTTCTTTATCAATAATCAGTACTATTCGCTTATTAAAGTTTTGCAAGTGCATCCTAGGCATCTTGACATTAAGTATAAGCCTTTTTCATGAAATGTCACTGATAACTTTTGAGCAGTTTACCCTGGGGGGGGGGGGGGGGGGGGGGGGGTCCTCTTTTATATCATATCAAATGATCTAAGTCTAATATGCATGCGCTTCTCCTGTCTCTGTGTAAGACAATAAGTGTTTCTGACTTGGTTATAATCTTGTTTTTAAATGGGATATCCAACAAAATTAAGGTTCCCCCAACCCTCAATCCACCATGTCTTTTGAGATGATCTTGATGTGTTGGTCTATAAAGATTCCACTCGTTATCTCTCAAAGAGTCTATTTGTGGTATTCAGGTGTTTGGACTTGCATTCAAAATGATGATCTTGCAGGATAATATTGCATTTGAGTCCCTGCATTCCACTAACAACTTGATCCATTGGGTTTGCTTCTTATTGGTTTAGCATGTGGTTTTGTCTTGCTATTTAGTTACATGAACCTTTTTATATTGATTTTGTTGGCATAAAAAATGTAGGTCACCAATGATGAAGCTGTTGATATGGCAAGGAGATTAGCACTTGAGGAAGGTCTGCTGGTAATATGCAAAGATATTTCAGTCTAGATCCTTTTAATAGTGTTTCCTCGTATACCATGAGCTCCCACCTTTCATGAAAAGAGGTCTACTTATGATTCGGCTGAAAGTTTTTCACTAGCAGAATTGAGATGGTCTTCTTAAAGTTCAACCCTAAAGCTTTTGCTAAAAGTAGGCAGCAAAGTCAGACTGCAACTTTTTTTTTTTTGGGGGGGGGGGTTGTTGTAGGGGGTTTATGGAACTTTCTTACCTGTGTGTGTCAGTCATGAAAAAAAAAAATGCAGTTTGATCCTATAATTTAAATTAAGGCAGTGTTTCAGAACCGGCCACTATTTTTGAACAAAAAAAATTCATCCAGTTTTACTAATTGATTAGGATTCTTTTGTCTTTAGGTTGGTATTTCATCTAGAGCTGCCGCAGCTGCTTCGATTAGCTTAGTGAAAAGGCCTGAGAATGCTGGAAAACTTATTGTGGTGAGAAATTTTTCTTCCATTTTCTGAGTGATTCAGGTAGCCATTGAATATATTTCGAATATTCTTACTTAAAAACTTAAGCCTGACATGGTTTTTATTGCCTTTCAATGAAAAAAAATCCTTGCTAGTTTTTACTTTCTTTTTGCGAATTTGAAAGAGTAAGAATAAATATAGATTGATTGACATTCGAAAAGATCACCAAGAATACTGCAATAATCTGACATCAATTAATTATAAACATCCAATGCTATGCCTGCTAGACTTGGCTTTCCTTCATTACTTTTTTGGACCGATAATAATCAATACCCCATTATCATGATTTGCATGTGTGGTTTTTGTATTATAGATGGCGATGATAAGTATATTGGTTATTATTGGTCCAAAAAGTATTGGAGGGATTTTCAACCAGTAAAGATTTGAGAGGCTCACATAATACTTTGAGGGCATCATACTTTTGATCAAGATTGAGTAAATTACATCATTAGTCCTTGACCATTTAGTAATGTTTCATTTTCATCCATTATCTAAAAACCTCGATTTTTCCACAATGATCTTTTGCGTTTGTTCCAAATTCATCCATCCTGAGTACACCATTAGAATTTGAATAGAATATGGATAGAATTTGAATAGAATATTGATGAAATTTGTCACGTGGGACTTTGGTGGACATATACGTGGAAGATTCCATTAAATTTTAACTGGATGTTGATGGAACAAATTCAAAAGGTTGTGGATGAAAAGGTTAGTTTTTTAGGCCACAGATGAAAATGAAACATTTTGAAAAGATCATGATTAATGATGGAATTTACTCAACGAGATGAGTATTTCAAAAGTGGAAAATTTTCTGGTGCTTGCTTGATACCTTATATGCTATTGGTTGTGGGCTGAGAGATGGACTGATTTGGAAAAATGATAATGTTCCCGTCAGATCCATTGAGGTGACCTATTTGATTCCATATGAAGGTGGATCAATGAAATTCAGGATAGCGAGTTCAACCGATGATAATTAGTTTAATAATCTCTTGCTTTTATTGTCAATAGGACTTCTGACTAAAATTTTACATTAATTTGTTTACTAACTGCTCCAGAAAATTCAACAGCCCATCATTATATCCTACTGTATTATTTTGGACAAATATAATAGGTTTACCTACAAAGTCCAAATGCTCCTAATGTGCTCTAATTTTATCAAAAGTGAAGCTATGCAGACAATTATGTTAAAGTTCCTTGGAAGGAAAGCAGGAAAAATGAGCAGTATGCCTTTTTTATCCCAGTGGCAGATCAAAATATGCTTCCAATTTAAGCTCTCTTTCCTGTTTACACTAGCTTCAAGGCAGACAATACAGCATGCAAATTTACATACAGAAACCTCAAACAAACAACAGACGTATATATTTCTGGTGTACACTAGCATCGAGGTAGACAAGACAGCATGCATACTTGCATGTGTGTGTATATTATACATACACACACACACACACACACACAATTTGCTAGCATTGTCGCAAATTTATTAGATAGCTACAATCAACTGGGTTACTTCTTTCTAATATGTCTTTCAATGGTCCTTAACGATGTAGGTTATATTTCCTAGCTTTGGTCAGAGGTATATTCCAACTGTTCTTTTTCATTCTATCCATGAAGAGGTTCAACAAATGCAAGCAAGATAGTGTCGATTTGTTCTGGAAGATTCAGATTACCATGGAATTCAATTCTCATTCATTCAAATGGAAACTGGCCTCTGTACTAATTGACAGGTAAGTCCCTTTCTCTATAAACTTTTCCATCTGTATTCCGGGACCAATAACCCTTGCTTTATCTTTTACCTATTGTTTTCCAGGTGCAATTTTCATGAAGGCACCAGAGTCCATACAAGATTTCTCATGATAACTAACTTTCCAGTCATCCTTTGACCATGTTTTCCTACTGGTATTTGAAATTGTTTGGCATACACAGTGCATACCATGTTGCTACCTACTGATTGTACTATTGTAGGACGATCTCAGGGCTAAAGAGTAAATTTGAAGATGGGCAAATTGTGAAGTATGTGATTGCAGCCATTTCTCTGGTTGCTAAATTTGGTACTTCTAGAGGCATGTAAGACTACTATAGATGTTTGAAAATCATAACCAATTTCTCATTTGTGAAAAGCCTATACAAGAATTTACTTGGAAACATTTCATTTGGTTGCTTTCATTGGAAGCATCCGGTCTTCCAGACAGGCTAGTAGTTTTACTAAAACTAGCATTATTAAAAGCTTCTTCCCATATTGTATGTTGTTGCATTTCCATTCTTAGCCGAAACTTTTCATTTATATCAGGTGAAACAAATCCAGTTCAGTGAAGCTCCTCATCTCTCAAGTTATTGCTACGGGAAGTCGAAGTCATTGTTTCATATCTCATTCTCCCAGGTTGTCATTTTCAACCCAACCGGCAAAGTTATTCAGTTAACTTGTAATAGATAGCTGGAAATCCACTTTTAGAAAAACAATCGATTTCCAACATTTGTTTGAATGCAGAGCAAGAAGAATCATCCGAGTTTCTTGTTTTGGTATTTGAGGTTGTCAACATTTGGACACTGATAACTAGAACAAAGAGTTAATCATTTTACCAACAAATCATGTGATTGTTGGTGAATCATCCTAGTTTCAAATGCTATTTTTGGTGAAATTATCTGTTTTGGGAAGTGATCTGTTGGATACAAGGCTAGATAGTGCTAATCGAGGATTTATGTCATGAAAGAACTTCATGCATAAAGCTGGTTGATATCAGGGATTCACGGATCCCATTATTGGGAATTTCTTTTAGAAATACAATCTCTTTTTTTGTTTTTTTTTTTTGGTTAAGCAATAACTCGTACAATACTTAATCGTGCAAGATATAATTAATTTTCTTGTAAATAAACAGTCCTCGAGTTTAATGTATCAATGATCAGTGGAAGATTGAATAGATTTAGATGAGAATTTTTTATGAACTTTCCATTGATGCAGTCCAATTAAGCAATGATATCCTATCTTCATTGATGACAGAAAGCAATCTCCAAAGATTTTTCTAGATGGTTTGGATGTTCATTCAATCTATATGATTGATCCGTATAAGCCCTTTAAACATCAAGGAGCACTACTTTAAATGATTTCCAAATTACAATTATTTCGAGGTTGTTGCCTTGAAAATGTTTAGAATAGACGTGGAATATTTCTAGAGATCAACTTAATTAGTATTAGGAATCTTACGAAAACGCTTTTATTCATATTTTTAGTTTTTTTAATTACGATCAAATTCAAGATCTTTAGCTTAAAACTGAATCTAACATCATTAAATTAACCTAAAACCAAATTCAATATCATTAAATTAACCATTTATTGATTTTTAAGCAGATTTTTTACTCCAACTTAATTAGTAATGGAAATTTTGTGAAAATGTCTTGTTTAATATTTTGAGATTTTTTTAAAAATTTTTTGAATTACGATTGATATTCGAATTTGAAACTTTTAATATAGTACTTAATCAAGTACCATTGAACTATCCTTAATTTATTACTTGATACTAGAATTTAAATATATTATAGGATAAATAATTGGAAAATATTCAAATACTCAAACTTGCACTATAAGTAATTGTCATTTTCTTAGGATTTATACCAATTTAAGAATTGTCCTACAGTATTATCTTTTGATGTATTGTTCGTTTGTTAATTACTTGAACCAATGGTCTATCATTTCGAGAATAAAAATCCCAAAATGACCATTTCCTTAAAAGTATCAAGTGTGAAAAATTATTAAAAAAAAGGCTAATTTGGATTATAAAATGACCATTCAATCCTGCACAAATTATCGTATAATAATATTATGAAGGTCTGGTTTGCTTCTTCAAGGATTCAAGCACCAATTATCTGCTTTAATGCCTTATGGTTAAGACTTATGGCCTGCGGTTGAACATTGGCAACAAAATCATGACCCAAAATATCTAAACTCGAAAATCATGACGGATTTGTATCGGATTATTTGATTTAACGATAAATACATCATATTTTTTATTAAAAAATATGATTCAATTTTTTTTAAATGAAAAAAAAAATGATTGGTTAATGATTTTGAGTTGAAAGAAAATACATGCTTTATAATTGACTTTATTACTTATATATAAACCCGATTTAATTTAGTTTAATTTATTTTGTTTTATAATTTCTAACATAAAAAGAAAAAAAGATTTGGTGCCATTTGTTTGGAACATTAGTCTCCGTGGTCAAACAAGAATTCACATATATATTCGATCATATGGATGAACTCAATAACACAATAACATTTACAACTATATGAAATTCAAAATTTGCACCTCTTCCCTTTTAAGAAGAATTTTGGCTCAGTTAGTTAGAAGAAATTTCTTGATTCCAAGCACCTAATTCATCAACTTCTATTTTAATTTTCTTTTTTTTTTTTTCCAATAAAATTATTAATTGAAAATTTTCTTATATATAGATATTATTAGAATTTAGCCATGTGGAATGGACCATGGAAGATTTATTCTAATCATTGAAGGACACCAAAGAAACCAGCTGTTGCCTGTCTCCAAGCACATGCTCCATCTTTCTTAGTCTTAAAAATTATAAATTAGCTCATTTACTATAGCAATTAAGTTTCTTTTTATGAATTAAATTCCATTGAAGAACCCCCTACTCCTTCCCCTCCAATTTCCTTTCGTTTTTAATCTGAATTAATTATTAAAACCACATTGATTATGCAACATATAGAGAAAAAAAACTTTAACCAGAAATTAATTTGAAGTTATTATTATCATTGAAACTGATATTATATATATATTTTAAGAAATTTTATATTACCCACAAAGATTAATTCAATTGGTAAAAAAAAAAAGTTTTCTTTCTTTGTTAATCTAAGCTAAATATTTTTAGAAGCACTTTAAAGATAAAATTTTAAATGAACTAGATCAATGTGAAGAAGTGAGTCTTTAAGATCGTATTAAATTTAAACAAAATTTGAAAAAACATTTTATCGTTATAAACACTCAATTTTGTCTCAAATGATTTGATTTTGTTTGATTTTTAGACTTGATCTTAACATATTAATTTGGGCTAACACAAGCATTTTAATTCATTTGGGTTTTATCAATCATTTTTGGATAATTTTGCATGGTTAAGGCCCAATTCAGTTTAATTATGAATTCAAAGTTTTATTTATTTAGACTTAAAGGCCTAAAATACAATGTTAGCCCAATTTCAAATTTTAAAGCCTAATTTCATTTTATTATGATTAATTAATTAAATTAATTGAAATAAAAAATCAAAGACAAAAGATTAAAAAAAAAAAAAAGGGTGAAGGTTGACTGTCATAGCAACCTTTCTCCTTTGCCTTAGATTGACTTTTTCTTCCTCCCAAATTGCTTACCCAATTTTAGCTCTCTCATTTTTCCTTACTTTTTTAACCCTCTATCTTCCTAACACAAATTGATCATAAGCCTAATAACCCAAATGCATCAAGCTCCAATCTTCCAAAAATAGCACCATTGCTGCAATAAGCTCAAACTACTAAGTTCCTAAATTTTGGATGGTTTAGAATTATAGTGCTATAATGATCTCATTTAAACTCTATAAAGAGAGTTTCATTTTTGGGGGCAAGCAATTTTATAAAGAGGAAAATTCATACAAGGAGGATAGCTCAAAAGCAAGTTTTTTTTTATTCGATAGCTTACCGATCAAACAATCTTCAACTATACATCATCGGTTATCCTGCACCACCACCTAAACCGCTATGATGCTCCTGATCCCACATTGAAAGAATGTGTGAATATTTTATGATATATATATAGAAATCTAAACATATATTTGTAAGACGTCTTTTGTGAAATAAAGCTATGAAACCTTTAGGTTAAAATAAATAATATCTCACAGGTTGGGTGCAGGTCTCCACAAATAGTATCAGAGCGGTCACCAGTCGGTGAAAACTAAGTGTTACATCATGAGAGTCACTAAGTGTTATACGGTGGGCCCGTAAGAGTCACTAAGTGCTATACTGTGGAGAGTCATCTCTAGAATCCCAACATCTTGTATGATTTTGATTATATGATTGGACTCAACTTTATAAGAACGTCAAGCTTTTAAATTGGAAAAATAATGTATAGATATGGTATGATATATCTATAAAGATCTAAACTCAAATTTGTGAGACATCTTTTGTGGGATAAACTGTAAGACCTTTAAGTCAAAATAGATAATATCTTGCAAGTTGAGTGCATGTTTCTAAAATCGTCCATTCACCACCATTAAAAATCATCATACACCAATCGACCACTTATAACACCACCAAATTCAAACGAACTAGCCTACATGAAACCCACCATTACCAAAGCCATCTAACAGCCTCCCTATACTAACCCACTACCAACCCAGCCTAACTGAAGCCATACTACTATACCCACACACTCAAAAAACAACTTGTCTCCACGCTCTTTCATACCCTAAAACCAAAAATCATAAAAAAAAAAATGTCATAGTCTTCAACAAAGAACCCAATCAAGCAAAGAATAATAGCATCAAGTAACACAATATCACATTAAAAAAAAAAAGGAAACAAGCAATAAAAAACATACAAAGAATAAATGGTGAGAATAAAGGTTTTTTGTTTGTTAGGATTTTTCTTTTTGGGTTTATGGGTGTTTTGGAATAGGTCTTTTAAGTTTGTAGGAAAGGAAAATCAAGCGGGTCAGCCTGACCGTGGCCTATGACCTGACTTGGATCCACTCCAAAGCTTTCTACCCGGCCCGTCAAACCAAATCCAGTTGTGGCCCATTTCATGCTAGATTTGAACAATTTTGGGCTTTCTTTTTCATTAGGTTAAACCCAATAGCTTGATAATTATTAGTTTATTTATTCTCTTTCAATTGCATTCATTTATATGAGATTTTAAATAATTGTTCTAAAATAATTAGTATCATTTTAATTAAATAATAAAAAGAAATATGTTACAAAATTTGAATGTTTGAATAATTTCAATGTTGGAGATTTAAAGTAGTATCATGTAAGCATTTTTGTAGCATGTGCATTTGAAAAAATAAAAATTTTTATGAATTTTTTTATGATGGAATTTCGAAATATCCGAGTAGTAATTCCAAAAAATTCTCTAGATGAGAGAATTTTGCTAAAAATATTGTCAAAGAATTAGAATATTTAGAATGATACTCCATGCAAAAAAATTCTCAGTTATTTTTCATTTCTAAAAATGAACTTTCATGCAATAACATCTCGAATTAATCTACGTGCATTATTTTTATACCGATTATAAAAGTAAATGAAAAATCTCCGAAGATAAGATTCTAAAGAAGTCAAAGTAGTGATTCTTTAGGAATTTCTAAATAAAAAAATTTATCCAAAATACCGCCAAATTATTAGAGCATTTAGTATAATTTTTATAACGATTTCTCATTTTTTTAATATAATAAATAATGTATTTTTAAAACACTATTGGGATTAAATTATAATTATTATATTTTATACTATGCATTACAAATATGGATTTTAAATATAAATATGAACCATTGATGATGAAATTTTTGAAAATTTCGAATAGTGATTCTTAATAGATCATTAAATGAGGAAGTTCCTTTTAATATTGCTAAAGTATTGAAATTTTTTTGAAATTTTTTTAATATGCAAGGCTCTTATTTATTTTTCAAAAATAGAAAAAATACTAAAAAAAATAATAAATATGTTTTTTTACAATAAAGAAATTGAGAAAATTAATTTTTTAAATACCAAAATTAAGTTTTTAAATACCAAAAGTAAATGATAACACATAATTAATTGGATCATTTTAAATAGGTGCCGGTGGTGGTGCTAATCTTTTTTTGTGTGCAATTGACTCCCGAGCCTAAACTATTTTTACAGACCTAAAAAATTATTTTTTTGATAAAGTTTTAATTAATTTTAAAATTTTTATTAAAAGACAATTTTTAATAGGTGGCCAATCACACCTATCCAAAAAAGATTGGTGGCAACTCTTTTTTATTTTCAAATTCGTTTAGCGGCTTGAAAAACCGTTACGAAAGCTTAGCGTCTCCACTTGGGAAATCATATTTTTAGAGAGTCAGGCCAAAAAATTAACTAGGTGTTATCCTCAATTTTGATT